AAAGTGTCTGAAACTCATTTGTAGTGAGGTCTAATAGGTATTCCAGGAGTTTGATGTACAATCTTGGCTGCAATAATATTGATGAGGCTCCAGGTTGGAGACAGATTTTTAATCACAGGAGAGGAGCTCTAGTTTCACCAATAGCACCCTGACCCTGGAGATCCTTAGATTGCACATGGTTGCATTTGTTTCATAGAAATTGTGCATCATCTTCTTCTTATTATTATTTTTCACAGCCTTAGTCCCAGACTATCCTGGGGTCAGCTGCTTTGGTTGCTCTTCTCCACTTGTCTCTGTGGAGCACATCTTCCTCACTCACTTCACATACCTCCATATCTTTTCTCACACAATCTATCCATCTCTTTCTAGGCCTGCCTCTTCCTCTGTAACCTTCCACCTCAAATTCCATTACCCTCTTTGTTACTTCCTCAACGTCCCTCCTCATGATATGTCCATACCACCGTAACCTCGCCTCTCGCATCTTCTCAACCACATCCACCACCCTACATCGTCTACGGATTTCTTAATTTCTGATCTTAGCCTTCATTGAAATCTGCAGAATCTATCTCAACATCCTCATTTCAGTTCTTCTCATCAAGTTCTCTTCCCTCTTTCCAACTGCCAAGCATTCAGCTCCATATCGTAGTACATCATAAGATCATGTTTTTATGAGTGAATCATCTACATTATGTCGAAGAAGGTACAAAATAAAAACGTGACATAGGCTTGTAATGATGTGAAGGCGTTTGCCGGAGCCTTGGCTGAGAACTTTGATCGGGGCTGAGCCTGGGTCGTGTCACTAGCCAACAGTACCTGGGATTCTCCCAGCCCTGGCACACAATTGGCCGAGATTGGTCAGCAGTCTTGTGGTTCTGCTGGTGAGGGATGCTCCTCTCCTCCCATCAGCACTGGATCTCTTCCCTGTTAGTGATGATGTTAAAAGATGAAGGGCTCAAGAGTGGATGAAAAAGTCTGCCCTCATCCTTCCCTGTGTGTGGTTGCAGGGTTCGCAGCTGTCAGACACGACATGAAAAACACAAAACTGACTATAAGGTATGGTGTCGGGGAAAAGCAGGTGAAAAAGGGATGTTACTCACACCACACTGATCTTCTCCGTTTCTCCGTTCGTACGTTTTCCAATTCCGATCCGTAATCCGTTTCCAGTACCCTTAAACAATCCAAATTCCAAAGTCCGTATGTTCACACAAATCCGTACCGTAACCAAGTTGTAATCCGTAAACCGTAGTCGTAAACCGTAAACCGTAGTCCGTTACTCCTTAATCCTTTCCAGCACAATCCTAATCCTCTCCTTCCTCCAAAACGCATTCACCTTATCGGCTTCCGCACTGGCTCACCGCTTCTGGGGCATTTATATCCTGTTTCCTGACGTAGCTCAGCTGTGTCTCCTTGTTTTGCTGCATAGGCCTTTTCCCAACAGCAGGTCAGCTGGTTATCCTTGGCAGCCGTCTTGCCCAGGTCTATATCGAGTATAATCAGTGTTTCGTTCCGGAAATACCGGTTATAAATGACCCTTCCCCGGGTCCTCTTACAAAGGTTTGATGCGCATTTCCATATACTGTACACCTTGTCAGCTGACTTTGAGTCTCAGCATGTGGCTACAAATTTCCATCCACATTGCATCTCATGTCCTCATTAGCAAAGCACTGTGGAAAAACCCTGTATAAGTGCCATACTCACCCCTGGCACTGCTATGCTGTGATACTGCGATACCTTCACACATTTCATCCACAGCATGGATGAGGGCAGCAGTCATATACCTTCTGCCTTCAGGCTGGAAGTAATTCGTACTGTAGAGTGCAGAAGTTGGTAATAGGGTGAGTGAAACGTCATGATGAACTCTCCATGTGATGTTAAACTGTCTCGTATTACTAATGCCTAAAACGGGTTTATATATTGTCCCAGGTCGTGACAAATGCAATTACAGCTTTTGGGTCTATAAGGAAATTGTGTAGCTCATTGAGGAAACATAGCACACGGGTGTAACAGCCCTAGTACACAACCCCATTTCCTGACAAGGTTGCAAAAAACATTATATTCCGACTGCACTGCCTCTAAACTTAATAGAACAGATTCATTGCAGAATGCCCTCACTCCTTGCTTATATATTTGAAACGGCATTTATTATACTTATTTGAAAAAGAGTAAATCCGCTTCAGGGTGATTTGGTACCTTTTTAAAATGACCTCGTGCTCTGCAATGAGAACACCTCTTCCACCAAATTTAGCCCTTTCAATTCTACAATACAGGAGAGCAATCAAACACGGTAATTTCATGCTAACCTTACAGGAATGTGAACATTATAAATATGATTTCCGTGCTATTGCACATACAAGCCCAGTGCAGTGCTCTTGACTTAACGGATTCTCAGTTTGAGATAATCGGATAATTGAGGCTAGAAGCTGACCTCTTGAGGTTTGGTTGGATAACACATCCACCTAGTTGCATTATGAGAGCTGTTTCTGACATGAGCAATTACTGGAGCTCTTATTTCGTCTGAGAGAACAGTATGTATTTGTTGCTGACCACAACCACGGCCAGGGGCTCCAGCTTCAACATGAACACATCCACCTCCTGCAGCTTCTTCTGTCTCATCCATACTGCCGCAAACTTGCTCCGTCTCTGTGGCCTTTGATGTCATGATGTAGGCAGGATCAGTTCAGCCTCCTTCCATTCTCACATGGACAGGTCGACTTGTAATAACGAGCCATATTGTTACCAAACAATAAAATAACGTATTGTGAATGAATAGTAATTAGCATTTGAAATTGGTCCTTATGTGAGACAATAGTATTTAAAGAACTGAGTAGGTGATTAAGAGATTCTCATTTCATATGTTAATATGATATACTTTGTCTGATGTTTAGAATTAGAACATTAGAATCTCAGTTTGGGTTTTTACGTGTTGAGTGTTTTGTAGCTGGGAATAGTCTTTGAAAAATATGCCAAAGTATTTACCAAACAATTTCACATTTTCTAGATGGCAGAAAATAAAATCAAGATGGTAATGTAGAAAAGACAATCGAAGCCCTCTGGGTAAATTATTTTTTACATTTATGTTACCAAAGTCAAAACATGGAATACGTACTGCTGCAAAAAAAAAATGAAATGCTACGCTCAGGCGTCATGGATTTATACAAATGCTTTAAACAGATGCATAACAAAATCATCAGGAAACTTGAATGAAAATACAAATCAAAGAATTATTTCAGTTTTCAGTATAAATCGTGGCACACTGACAAAATGAGCACATTACAGTGTCAGCATTCAGTATAACTTCCCTGAATATGAACACAATCCTGGAAGTACTGACATGTAGACCTGATCAGCCATGGGCAGATCACTGTGGGGTTATTTCACGATTTTTCCTGTGGGGCTGCTGCCACCCAGCAAAAGCTGGCAGGTTGCTGGTTGTCTCTCTTGATAGAAGTGATGACTGGGACTCACAGATGGTCTCCCATACTCAGGCAGGAAACAAAACTGGCCACGGTATGACCACAGAAATGGTCTCTGAAGTTTGTATCTGTGTAATCCTTATACTGTGTGATCGTTTACTCTCCTGCTGGAAAATCAACATTTCTGGATTGACTTGTAGGACAGAAGATACTATTGGCTCAGGATCTTTCTCAATGAGTTGGTGGACAGTAAGGTTGCCCTAACTCTGCACCAAAAAGTAGATTTCCTCTCACATCCTTGCATTTCCACTTCTCCACTGACTGGCTTGCACAATGCAACAGTGAGCAGGGTGCCTATCGGAATATCCCCGCACAAGGTGTCTTCTGTCATGGCTGTCAAGGGTTAAATAGTTGAATAAAAGCCTGCACCGTTCTCTCTGCCTTCATCTCAGATGTTCTCTGACCCACAGAAGACACCTCTCAGCTGTCAACATTTTACCTTTGAACGGCCTGTGAGTGTTCACATCATTTCCCTGCAAACAGTGAGCTACAGCCATAATGCCAATGGGCATGTTATTTCTTCCTGGGATTTCTCCCATGCGGTAGCCATAGAAAGTTTCAAACGATTAACACAGGTGGATAAGACAGACGGAATGGTCTTGGTTTGATGTGTTGACCTTCTGCCTTGCAGGGCATGTCCTGTCCCTCACAGAGACAGTGTCTTGTGTTTTCTGCTGCCCGTTGAAGCAGAACATCTCATTGTCTGTGCCATTTCCCTCCCAGACAGGGCACTTCCAGTCATGTCGATGGGAACCAGGTGCTCTTCATTACTCAAGGAAGAGATGATTGTCTCTTTTGCTGTTTTTGCATTCATTTAAATCTTGTCTTTTTGAATGTCTGTTTTTTACAGACATTGAACTAATTGAACTAATTGATCTTAATTGAACTAATTTTGGCAATTGTACTAACCTTACATGTCAAACATTGAGCACTTACTGTTATTATAAAATCACTAGCTTGAACTCAGTCATCCCAAAGAACAGCACTACTAAAAAAACAACAGTCTTGTTTTATGTATCTGCTCACTACTTGAGATGTGTATAACATTGTGTTTGAGCTTAATCAGATTTGTATACTAAAACTTAGACTGGTACATTTTCATTGTTCATTACTATATAGTAATGAGGTGATTAGTCAAACTCCCATAGACGGGAGACATTCACACCATTGACTCCACTGCCAGGCTCATACTGTACATCAGATGTCTGAACCTGTGAGCAGGATCACTACTGCAGCAACACACCATCAGGATGGTAAAACCAGCCTGTCTTACACTGATCACTACTGCAGCAACACACCATCAGGACGGTAAAACCAGCCTGTCTTACACTGATCACTACTGCAGCAACACACCATCAGGATGGTAAAACCAGCCTGTCTTACACTGGTCTAAACTCAGCACCTGGTCGATCCTGCTGCACAATGATAGGAAGAGCCTTAGTCGAAAGGACCCGGCGGTGTGGTTTTCTGGTGTTGAAAGAGTACCCGAGACGTGGCTGAAGTGTGCGGCCTGTGCGTATGTTTCAGTCGCCGGCACACAGCTACTCCAGCCTGGATTCGGGGAAGAACGAGAGCGTGGGAGGAGGAGCCGAGGACCTGTCCCTCAGCCGCGCCGACGAAGACGACGACGACCACGACGACCACGAGGACTGCGAGAGGACGATGGAGGCGGAAGGGGTGGAGGCCGAGCGGCTCAAGGCCTTCAACGTAAGTACGGCCAAGGGGACTCCCAACAGCTGGCCGGGTTCCTTACGGGAACTCGTGTGGCAGCTGTGCTGCGCTGGATTGGTGTGTTTTAGTGAACTGCAGTGCAGTTGTGCTTTGTTAATATGGGTTAATACCTGGCAATACTGCAGTGAGGCTGTGTTCCAGCCGTGCAGGGGATGGTGACTGTAATACACCACTACCCTGTTCTTATATAACATGGAGGTAGGGGTCCAAACTCAGGAGACAGCATTACTGTCATGCTGTAACACATTTTAGGGTGTTTTTGTTACTGAAATATCCACAAGCTAAATTAATTGTAAAAGAATCTGTGATTACTCTGTTTACACCACCCTTTTAGCTTGATTGAATTCAATTTGTTTATTATGACAAATATTTTAAGCTGAACATACAGAGCACAGAATCTAATCATGTTTTCACACAACTGTGGCGTGTTTTGATATTTTATTTTGTAGCATTATGAGGCAATATTTTTTATGACTGGGGCTTTAGTTATATCATTGCTTTTATCGTTACAGTAAAGCTACAGTAGATCATCTCTGAATTTTCTTTTACTTTCTAGCATTCTTCAACAATTTGAATTTTTTTAAAATGTTTTCTCACCTTTTGCTGTTGTATTCTCCAACCCTACGCTAAAACCTTCCGACTGAAGGTTGGGGCTTTTTTCCATTTAAAGCAATAACTGACGATTATCCCTAAAATTAAAGGTTTATTCAGTTAATATTTACACAGGGAGTGAGAGACATCTTTTAGGTTTTAGAAAAGGGAGGGAAGGGAAAAGAAAAAAATGGTATTATCAGAAATTATTTCATGTGCAGGTCTTAATTCATTGCAGTTGTGTTATTAAAACATCTTTTTAAACTGCTAAGTGCTGAAGTGCACTAGTAGTTGAAACAGTTTAAAATACAGTAATCAAGTTCTTGTAAACTTAATATTAAAGGCTAGTGTTTTTGCTATGGTATTTTGTCAACTGCATAAATGGCAGCCTTGAAGTGGAGTGAGGCTATTTGTAGCATAATTCCCAATAAGCAGGATGACTTATACTACTTAAACTTTTAAGTCTTGAAGTGCAGTGCAATGCAATGGTCATTTTCAAACTGAAACAATTTAAAAATGAGGCCAATTTAAAAAAGTTATAGAAACAATTCTGCAGGTTTCTTATCTGCAGACTTTATTTTCATTTACACATACTGTATAGAAGCCTGCCCAGTGGCATGCATCTTCTGAAGGCAGTTCATCTGTCCCATGCTTACTTTAAAACCTGCTTGCTATGTTTCTCTACCATGGTTATAATACTATATTGCATCAATATAATACTATATTGCATATTATGTCCACCAGTGGAGTGTTTATTATTTTCTTTCAGCGGCCCAATTTGTAGCTAGAAAAATGTCTTTAATTTTCTTTGTCTTTTAGCCACGAATGCAATCTACTGTAGATTCAGTAATGTGTCTTATGAAACTCAGGTTTCACCTTTCTTTGCTTTTCCCACTACATTAAGATTCATTCTAATAGAGAACAGTTTTCGGGTTTTGCATTTATCTGTTTTAACTCAATTTCTGGAACATCTGAGTCAGGCTGATTTACAGTTTTCAGGAAGTGAAAACCCTGATTTCACTGCACTGTCATAGATTGTGTTATAACAGAATCGCACTGTATTCTTTCAACAATCTTATTTTGCGGCACTACTCTTTAAGTGAATCTTTTAAGTGTAGACTAATACCTAAAATTATCTCAAATCTTAAATTTGAGATGTTTTTCTTTTCACTTTAAAATACAGTTTTTGCTTGATTCAAAAAAGGACTGGTAACCCTTAAGCAGAAGTAAACTTAAATGTAGGGGAACCAAGATCATCTGTGACTTGATTGACAGAATGACGGTTGTTTTCCAATTGCTTTATGAAGTTTGTCAGATTGCAATATTCGCAAATGATTGTAAAGTGCAAACCTCTTAACAAAAAATCCATAAGCAGCTCCAAATACAAGTTTTGAACTTTTGAACTGACATCATTGTGCAAAATCAAGTAATAACACTGACACATCATATAAAAGTTTCTTTTTATTCACTAAATAGTAGCAAAATAAACTTAGGATAATACATCAGTCCATCCATTTTCTAACCCCTTCATCCAATTCAGATTGACAGATTGCCATATTATTCTGGCAACAGGTACAGGCAGGATACACCATGGACTGGACACCAGTCCATCCCCCCACAGACAGACACAAATACATACTCAAACCAGGAACAGTTTTCCCAGAAACCAATTAACCTACAGTACCAGTATGTCTTTGGACTTACTGGTAGGTTATTATTACTTACTGAAACCCAGTGCCCCAGCACTACGAGGCAGTAATGCTAACTACTGCACTACATATGTTTTATGAATATTACCACAGATTTGTTTTTACTTCAACCGTTATCACCACCATGAATTCACCACATCCAACAACATCATCTGCCTGCCCCATGCCATTGCACATTGCTGTTATCTTCTCACAGACTTCTTATGTAGTGATAAGTTCTGTTTTCTTGCATGTATTGCATGAGTATTTTAATATGAAGAGAAATGAGCATTTGAAACTCCTCCCAATGTGAGATAATAGATAATAGTTTTTCACTGTGTGTGTGTAAACATGATTTATATGGTGTCTGATGCATATAATTTTGATCTCATTTGGGGTTTTGTTGATAGTTTTGCACTTGGGCACTGTTTTGTGGAAACAGTACATTAAAACCATAACAACTGCAGACAAAAATTTTAGAATAAGAAAAAGTTCCGTCTTACAATTTTAGGGCAAACCTTCTTTTCCTCTGAGTAGTACAGATGTGTTTTTTAAATCCAGTGGGCATTGTGTCAGATTGTATTGTTTAATGCCCCTGCAAGAGACATGCTCTTGGCGTGTAATGCATCTTAATGGATGTTACATGTTAAAAGCAGTTTAGTTCTGGTCCCCATGGATACAATTACCATTAATTCTGTGGGTACTTAAACTTTGCCTTTACCAAAGCAACAAGTTTTCACACCTTTTCCTAATCTTGCCTTGGAAGACAAAAGAACAAGCACTTTTCCAGCTTCAAAGAATTCTATTGATGATATATTGATGGCCTTGACATCTGTTTAGTTTACTTCCAGCAGGCATGTAGAAAATAGCTGAGTGCATGCCATCTTATACAATTGTGTTGTGTATAAGAGAGGCCAATGATGTACTAGTTATATTAAACAGCTGTCATTGCAGTGTGTTTTTTTGAAGAAATGTATGACAGAAGCTTTGTATCTAACACAGAAGAAAGAGACGTTTAGGGCACTGCACTTGAATCACTATTTTATGTCACAGGCCTGCTTGCTGTTCGCAGGCCTCTTATTTCCTTTTACAGCTACAGGATGTCCTGAAGTTGTTGCGAAAAGTAGTAATGCACTTTTCTAAGGTTCATAACACCACATTTATGATCATCTAATGACACCCAAGCTTGCAAAGACAGTGCACAATCAGCACTGTCATTGTTCTGTAATTTTGTAATTGCAAGCAGTAGAAATAATGTGTCAGCTGTACGGAGAATCAAACACTTGTAGCTCAAAATATTATTGGAGCAATATTCTTATCTACTGTAATATGTAATTTATGCAATGATTATGTATTGGATTGCATGAACAATGCCTTGTTAGGAATGACAATAAATCAGTATGATAAAACATTTTGTAAACATCTGCATTCTAAGGATACAAAGAGATCCTTAGTTAAATCTTAGTTAAGTACCGCCAAATAGGCTTGATAGTCTAATTTGTGGTTGTTTATTTCCACTAAACAATTATTTAATATAAATCATTAAACCAGTTAATTGTCTGCTGACATATACAGTATCATGGAGTAGTTCAAGAAGGTAGCTGTGTCAGCATGCGTAGGCTGCAAAGGAACAAGTAAAGGTTTATTCCATGCTAAAAAAAGAAGAAAAAAAACGCAACGTTTTGGGTGAGAAGAAGGCTCCACGGCCAAAACGCTTTGTTTTTTTTCTTCTCTTTTCAGCATGGAATAAACCTTTACTTGTTCCTTTAAAGCATCATGAAGTTTGTTTCCAAACACAGATGATTTTGTGAACAATAAGACAAAATGACTATTGCGTTCAACACTATTGTCAAGGCTACAGTAAAAACGATATCAAACAACACTAAATTAGACAAAGCAGATACATACGAATACATAAAGGTGGCACATTCTTCTGAATTTGCTAGAAACAGTTATTGAGGAGTAAAAACATGTTCAACCAGGATCTGAGCCAGAACTGGGAGATCAAGTGAAACATTTGTAAACGCAGGAAAAATAATAGTTTGAGAAGTCCATAAAACCCTAACTAATGACCAGGGGGACCGGAGTGATATCCAAAATTGGGAGCAATGTTCTTATGCAGATAAAAAGTCTTACAATTGGTGAACCATCATATCTACTGTTAAGTGTCAAGGAAATTAAATTGTGATGCAGATCTGCCTTAACTTGTCATGGACAGAGAGAAGTAAAAAATGCAGCAGACCGAAACCCAGTGTTTTGTGGTCATTTGTTGATCATACATCAATTTAATTGTCAGCACTATTGCAGTATGAATCACACAGGTAGGTCAGTAGCAGGAGGTCCAAAAAACCAAAGGATCACTGTGCTATCTTAATCTGCTAATCTGAATTTAGTGCATCTGAGGAATGTCTGAGCTCAGAGGAAACCCAACATTTTTAAGAACTTCTTAAATTCTAACTGGGCCTATGCTGACACAAGCTACAAAGTGCATTTTCAAGTTACAGCAAAAGCTTGAGGAAGACACACAAAGTACAAACTTATTGTGTATTGACATTTCTGTATGTACAATATTAGGCAGCAACTTTTTCTAAAAAAAGGTACATAGAATGTATTGTGCAGTCTTGTTATACTGATGTATTTCTATGTTGAGCTGATCTAATGTATTTTTCCTTAAATGTGGTAAAAAAAAAATCTTCCTAACCTTGATTAGCTTTCTCTTAATTAGGCTGCTTAAGGACAGACCCTTAGGAGGCCAAACTAATTCTGTGCCGTGTTCCTATTACAAATTTCCTCTTCTACCAATGCAACGCGACCTGTGGTTGCCTCAATAAACCTACTCCAGCAGGTGTATAAAAGAAATAGTCCTCTGAAATAGTGCACTAGCTTCTGCTCATGCTTTGTACTGTACACTGGTTGCCAGAGAGAGAAAGAGAAATGACTGCCCATACTGCGATGCTCATGCACGTGTGATGTCATTTGTGCCTGTCCCTGTAAAGCACTGTGCATGTGATTATAACGTCTTGTGCAGCAGATATGCAGGGCGTTACGCAGCCAGTGATGTGGCACCATTCGAGAAAAGCGTTGCGCGAAATGATTGCCCGTGATACTGACTCGAGAGCGGAATAGAAGAGAGTTGCCCTCCAATCCCTTTTCCTGTGTCTCCCTCTTGCCCACAGATGTTTGTCAGGCTGTTTGTAGATGAGAACTTGGACCGCATGGTCCCAATATCTAAGCAGCCCAAAGAAAAGATCCAGGCTATCATTGACTCGTGTAGGCGACAGTTCCCTGAGTATCAGGAACGCGCCCGGAAACGTATTCGCACTTACCTGAAGTCCTGCAGGAGGATGAAAAGGAATGGTTTTGACGCGGTGAGTCCCTCATGTGAACCCAGCCCCAGCCTGCATCCTCCCAGCTCCTGCCATACACATATCCAAGTACCTACTGTACCTTTCTTTTACTTTTCCTCGTTTTTTTTTTACAATTGATTTGGCCAAAAACGTGTGTTTTTTTTTTTTTGCCGTGTTGTTTTATTTTTCTCGCCCCCGCGAGCATCAGTACCCTTTCATTCATATCATTTCCCCCCTACCATTGGAATGAGAAACGATACCTTCTGTAAATCAGCGCCTTCTGATGCATGTTATTCGAAGAACTGGCAGGTTTAAAATCCATTCTTTACTTTGTTTCAGAAAAACACAAAAAAGGCTCAGATCTGTGTTTCTCTAGCCTATTCAGAAGATTCTGGCTTTTTCAGAGAAAAATGCTCATTTTTGCCTTTAAATCCAAGAGTATGGTTTGTTAGACATACAGACATATCTTTGTCTTTAATATAAATGATATGTAACTTTTTCCTCCAGCCTATAACACCTTTGTCGCAAATTCTGGTTATTACGAACCTGAGAAAGATTTCCGTGCTTGAATACGGTGAAAATAAAAGTACCCACTTGACCTTCTGGGTTTTTAAAAATGAATAAAGGATCTGTGACCCTCAGAAGATGAAGTGGTTTCAGAAAACGGAGGGAGGCAAGATAAGATGGTTTGTCATAGATAATGATATGCTAGTGGGGATTTTTGAAATGACCTAAACCATAAAAACATGACCACTCTGACCATAAGCCATGCACTTAGTCTTGTGTATTAAAATAGTGTAGTTTTGCAGATGTTAAACCAATTTTGAAAGACTGTTTTTCTAAACCTTGCATGCCTTTATCTTACAATGGTCTCAGGCTGGTAAATGCATATATAAAAGTTTTGCAAAAATGCTGGCCATATTGTCATTGTTTTGGAAGAGCTGTGAGGTTAGAGGTGAGAAATCAGAGCATGGTACAGTATACTGTACTCGATTTTGGCTGGCTCTTCCCAGCTCGATTACTTAAATCAGTATCAGTCTGGGCCTCGGAGAAGATGGATACTACATTATTTAGTGTTACTGTTGGCAGGAGATCCATCTGTCTGTCCATCTTCTGGTTTCGTGTGATCAGATTTGTGAATATTTCTCGTGATGCTGATATTTATAAATATCCTCTGTCTGAGAGTGAAGCTGTGGGGCTGATAAATACATCACCATTTTACAACCCTTTTTTAAGAGTTTTTGCAGCTCTTCAAAACAATCTGTTCTATCATTTTGCACACATAGTCATTTTAAATAGTCAGATTTAAAAGTACTGTACTTAAACGCATTAAAGGCACACCAATTATTCAAAGTGAATGTGAGGGTAATTTTGTTCTGAGGCATTTAAATTGGAGATCTATATCCACATATAAATCAGTATCATTTTTTATTTTTATATGTATAAGATCTAATATTTTAACCAAATACATCATACAGCTGATGTTTTCTAATCATTCACCAACAGCTACAGTACGTACAGCTGCTCATTCCCCAGCTGCATGTTAGCTGTTTGTTTTTTTTAAAGAATTGATGCAGTTTCAAAAAAGGCCAGTGCGTTACAACACAAAGTATTCAGTAGGGTTCATATGACTCAACAGCCAGTCAGAGTCCATCCTTGACACGACATGCAGTTTGAGAAAGAAAGCACTGATATCTGGACATATGGGTGAATAGACGCCCACCCACAAGCAGGCTTGAAAAACCTCTTTGGCTTCTCAGCTTCACTGAGCTGCCTTGGTAATAGGCCACTTGGGTCATTCTTTAGTTATCAGAGATTTCTGAGCTGTTCCATCTCCTTCTCCCAGATCAGCAGCACGAGCCCGATGTAATTAAACCCGCGAAAGCGAGGCAGTTTTCCGTTTAATTCTAGTGGAAGAGCTGCTTGCTAAAAATAAATAATAACAGGGTTGGAGAGCGGACAGTGCCCAGCGAGAGAGATTTCCTGACATTCTGTGACCCATAACCAGGCCACGGCTGTTGTCCCCCGAGACACCTGATGGAGCCCCCTCTCGTGGGCTCTGCGGTAGCTGGAGAGGAAGAACGTGCACAGCCCGAGTTTAACGAGGATAAAATCCATCAGGCCGGGCGCACAGAAAAATGCCCGAGGCGTGCTACTGTCAGTTATTTGCCATTTGTAATCCCGGTAACACTTCTAATAGAGTAACCGAGCAGGTTTAGCCTCAAGGAAACGGGGAAAGCTAAGCCTCGGAAGAGCTCCTGTTGATTTTGCGTTGCATTTTAAATACAGTAATATTCTTTGGGGTACTGCCACACATTTCAAAATTGTCTTGAGCTGTTGGACTGTGGTCACAGTTACACATTAGTATTGCAAGCTTGCTTGACACTGTACTGTATATAATACAACTGTAAGCTTATACTATTTCTCTTATTTTCTGTGTCCCCCAACCTGTTCAGCTTTAAACTTGGGTCCCACTACAGCCCCATGGCTAATGAGGATTACCCTATAGATAGGAATATGCTGTATGATTGGATCTATAAAATATATAATGCTAAGGATAAAATCAGAAGTTACTGTATTTCACTACTATTTTCACTTTGATCTCTGTGTTGCGAAGGCAGTGTGCCTTTGGTAAAGTTGCGAGATGACTATCAAGGTGAAATCAGAGATAAGGTCAGTGAGGGAGAGTTAGAATCATTGATTTTATTAGTCTTTGAAACCCAGACTTTGACTCTTAAATCTTAAAATAAGTATGATTAATATTTTAAACAGCACTGATGGCAGGACCGGAATGCATAAGTGGAAAAGCTGTAATTATACAGTATATAGGCTGTAGAGCATTTTTTCCACAACATTTCTAGTAGATACAGTAATGTTAAAGCCTGGCTGCCAAGTGAGAACAAGGAGTTTAAGCTAAGTATATTTGACTAGCCCCGCAGAAAGTCCGACATGTATCTTGAATCTTTTCTAAGTCCCTTGCAAAGTTTGCCAGTCAGAATTTTTGGCTTTGGGCAGACTGTAGTAACATGCAATATACTGTATATGTATTGTCTTGTATCTGAATGCATACAGTATGAAATACAGTATACTGTACACGCAGACGCAGATATTCTAGCAGAGCATGTTTTCACAGAACAAATGTAATCTTTGGTCATTGTTCTGCAAGCCAGTATTCTGAAAAAAAGATTCTTTATTTCCAGATTTCCGAAAAAAAAAAACAGTTATTAGTTTTGTCTTCTTTGCTAAAAGCATTTTGAAACAAACCAGCAGCAGTACTTTGAAGGCTGTTCATTGTTTCGGCGAGCCACAAAATGAAAAGCCTGTGCAGAGAGCCTGCGTCTGCAGGATCCACAGGGACAAAACCACACAGCCATCTGGTCGCTAAGAGGAGCTTTAAAGGCTCACTTCCTTTTATGCCTATTAATTGGTAATAATTAGTCTGTCTGTCTAAAGGCAGGGGAGGAGCTTTCCTGCCCTCTCTGGAGATTGAGGACATGGTCATCACAGCTGCCACAAGAGCACTCTTTCGCGAAACGGCCCCCCTTGTACTGCGGGTTACAAAAGGATAATCCCCCAGCCACACGGGTTACAGGGGCTCAGGAAAAACTCAGCTGCCAAGAACAGAAAAGCCGTAAAGACTTCCCTCTCTGAAGACACTAACCTCCGAGTCCCGCTCATGGAATGTGGATTTTATTTTTGTGCTTGCGTCATTTTGTTCTGTGTGTCCCGTATTTTTTTTTAATGCACGTGTGAGGTCTGAGGGCCAAACAGCATGTGTCATTTCTCCTTCTCCTTTCCTGCATACTGTACGTGTGAAAGTGCTCCCATGAGGAATGATCTTCCCCGGGGAGCATCGTTCCTCCCTAACCGTGTCTGCCGCCCGCTGTGCACTAGGAAATACTGCAGCATCATGAACACACAGATGCTGTCCCGGCGGATTGTTTCAGAGTCGACAATGTCACTCTACCAACATCGGTTATCAAACACCTATTCAGTTGTTTTTTTTAAAAAAAAAAACGATTGCATTGTATAATGGTAGACCTTCACAACGATAATGATAACTCCGCACAGTTGTAAAGTTGAACTTCCGCGTAGTTAGCCAGTAGTTCCCCCTGTACGCTTTGTAGTCTGCGATTGGAATGCAAATTCTTAAATGCCACTTCTTAAATTGTTTTGTATAAAAGTTAAAAACCCAAAAAAAATCAAATAATACGACAAGATAATTGCTGCCAGCCTACAATCTCGCCAATCACATCACACGCTTTCTTTGAAAAGTAGGTTTCATGGTAAACGAGACTAGATCGCCCGGCAGGTTTTCTTCCAAAGTTGTGGTCTAACAGGCCTCTTTTGCACCGGCCACGTCATGGGAGCCAATAGAACAAGACAGCTTAAGACACTGCCGTTTCACTGCATGTTCAGATGGCCGATTTATGGCGCACATGTACTGTGAGTGTAAGAAGAAGAAACAGTGAAGGAAATGAAGGGTGACGGATCTTGTCCCTGTTCCTTTTCTCTTGCAGTCCCGCCCTGTTCCGTCTCACCTCACGTCTGCGGCCGCAGAGAATATTCTGGCCTCTGCCTGCGAAAGCGAAAGCAGAAACGCCGCTAAGAGGATGCGTCTGGAGAGACCGCAGGTACTGACGCGTTTCTACCTTACAGGAGCATTTCGGGTAGTACTGGCTATCATTCTGCATCGGGCGTTTACTGCCACGGCCTTTTGTCTCTCCTAATTGGACGCCACAAAATGAGCAGAAATGTGCATCTAATAATGTGGACAGCTAACAAAAAGCATGGAATCTCTTACTTTAAACTTTCAAATGACACATTAATACAGCTGACGTACTGTATAATTGTGTCACAGAAACAGATGTGCACGGGAGATTAAACGTGCATTACTTTATTTGCTTAGCACATCAAGAGACAACCTTTCCAGATGACAAAATGTTATCAGGATAGACATTGTTATTGGAGCAGCAACAATATACAGCACCTGTCAAGTGATAGTACAGAAGAATACTCAGATGTGTTTTGCAGACATTTTTGTCTGAGGATATACTGCAAAAGGTTAAGCAAAGATGATAGATAGAGAACCCTTGGAGTGCTCCAAAGATACAGCCACAAAGATAGACTCTGGTATCATTCACTAATGGTCCTGACCTCCCAAAAATCAGACACATCTCTGAAATACATAAGAGTGGAAGTTGGAGAGCCACCAAAACAACTGACTTCTCAACAGCTAGGCCTTTGCCTAGTTGGTTACAAATTGCTACATCATTGTGAAAACACCTGCAGCAGGTCTTGGGCGTTGTGTCTGAACACCAGTGAGGAAATGCACTTTTGCATAGTTTTACACTTGTTTGCATAGGAGAACAGGAGGCACTTCTTTACACAAAGGGTGGTGGGAGCATGGCATAGGCTACCCAGGCTGATACTATGGCTTCTTCCAAGAAACACCTGAAAGAGATCCTCAGATCACCCAGCTGCTAACTGACGCACAGGCTATGTGGTTTGAGTGGTGTAATGTTCTGTTGTGCACCGCGCTGGTATTTTTATTGTTTAATAAAGAGACTCGGAGAAGGGGATATGATTACTCGTGTGTCTTTACTTAATCGCCATCTTAGGTCGGCTGACATCACACACTTCCGGGTATTATGGGTAATGTAGTACACAATCAGCTTGATATATACAGCAAGTATTACATGTGGGTTCCTCTCCTTTATAGCCTTTCTCTTGTTCTTTCCCTACAGTACGTACTCATATGCAGAATGAGCAGTAGCGCATGTGCTGTGTACTAAAGACACTTTTGGCCAGGAAATTATTATTTTCACTTTCACTTTCAGTGGCAAGCACACAATCATCTCTTTAACCAAACAAATCCCCAGACCTTTAGCAATCATTAAGTGCGCACCATAAGCATCTGGGGCAGATCTAATGTAAACTGAGCATGTTCTCATCCATCTTTTCCCAGCTGTTGCAAGTGTAAATTTAAACTTTTGTGAGTCATTCTCTCTGCAAGAGTAGGCAGGGTTGCAGATTAACTCCCCAAAACAGACTCCTCCTTGGGCTCCTGCAGGGGTCTGGCAGGCAGATAATGCTGCTTGTGTTTCCCTGCCACACTAAGGAAATACCTGTCTGTTTCATGTACTGCTCTGCAAGGCAGTCTAAGAGCCTTAGCTTCAGAGAGGCAATTTAATTCTAATAATTACCATGAAATTCTATAAAAAGGGTCAAGATACTGGGAGGGGAATGAGTCATGTTCCTGCTTTTGTAAATGGTATTTTTTTGTAAGTGACTTTGTACGCAGTAGATTTATGAAAGCAGGCTTATTATAGATCTGTTGCAAATTAAGCAGTTTTAAAGGGGTTAACCCTAAAAAAAAACAGATGTTAATTAATATTAGGAAATCTATAGCTCAGTTCTGTTTTGAGTGATATGTTGCAGCATTGGTACTAATAGATCCTCCCATATTTAATAACCAATGAGTCAAATACAAGATTAAGATGAGCTGGAGCCTAATCTGACCGACCAGTGGCCATAAGGTTATTGCCTCGCTGATAATAGATGCATCTCAGAAATAATTTAAAACTGTATTCATATATTTCCAAGTCATGTCTGTCCATTAGCGCAGCTGTCAGAAGATTCTAAAAGAATCCAATATACGAGTTCAATAGATGTATTTTTCATCAGCTTCCACAGTAATTCCCTAAGATCTTTTTCTTGTGTTCGTGCTACAGACTGTCAGATCCTTACGGGGTGTCTGACAAGTGTGCTGCAGACAGCTCTGTCATATCCAAAGTTACACTAGCCCAATTTAATCAGAGACAAAGGTGTACCTTTTTTCAGTTGGTAGCCCTACCTTTCCTGCATCTCCCAGAAATAAGAAATGTGCTTTGTGTTAATAAGCACTCTTTTATCAAAGGCATGTGTGGCTTGTTAGACCAGCAGTCTCCCTGATCTCCCTGAACAGAGAGTGGTTAATTCCTTCAGGGAGTGTGAAGGGGTGTTATCTATCCTGGGAGACGGCTGACATAGGTTAATTCCTGAGTGAGTAAGTTTCAAGAATCAAATGTGAATAACATTCTTACTCTTCTGTGGCACCTTTGCAAGAACTGTTTGACAAATTAGTGGGTGAAAGCGTCGTGTGGATTCCATGGATACCAAGCTTTGAGTTTCAGGGGTTTTTTTTGTGACACCAGAACCAGAAACCAAATTTAATTAGCTCCTAGAAGAACTGAAATCCTTCAGTGGACCGATGGCGGACCTCCCTCAAGTGTTTTTAGATGCAGCAGGGTGGCACAGTGGCTAGAGAATGGCTGCCTTGCAGCGCTGGGGCCCTGAGTTCAAATACTGGGATGCGCTCTGTGTGGAGTTTGCATGTTCTCCCTGTATTCCTCTGGAAGCTCCAGTTTCCTCCCAGTCCAAAAATATGCTTGTAGGTTGTCTTTGGGAACATTAGCTCTGGTGTGAGTATATGCCCTGCGATCGACTGGCTTCCCATCCAGGGTGTGTCCTGCCTTATGCCCGCTGCTTGCTGGGATAGGTTCCGGCTAACACACATGGCCATGAATTGGATATAGCGGTAAGAAAACAGATGGGTCGATGGGAAAAGGCATAGACAAAGCAGCTGGGTCTACTGTATGATGTCTATTGTATAGGAAAGAATGGGCTAGGATTCGAGTAAGGTGAGATACTGTAGCTGTAAAGTAAAATGGAGGCCCTTCAAAAAGTGATGATGATGATGGCGACGCTGAGAAGTTTAGAGCTAGGCCCTATTATTTGGAAAAGTAAATGCAGGCCGGGTGCTAAACAAAGCTGTTTTTTTTTTAATAATCCTCAAATAGATTTTTTGCAACTGATCATTTTATTAACCTTAATTCCAGAAAAATGAGTCATCTTTAATTTAAAACCTGGAATGTGCAGTAGTTTAATAAGGAGAAGAGAATAATTGTTTGAAGTTAATGGACTAAAATCCTCCACTTTATTCCTATAATCTAATTAAAAAAAGATCTGGTTTGCACATTGCAACCTTAAAGAAGAAAGTGTATTTAGTATATTATAGAAAGTTGCAATGTCAGTGCTATAAAGGGAAGGAAACATGAACCTCCTTAGAGAATACAACCGTACTGTATATAAAAGGACATTTTCTTAAGAAAACCACCACTCTATGCTTGTATGTTTTGATAAAAATAAAAAAATATGGATTTTCGATTTGATTAAATGTCATTTTGATGATTGGATCTTTTGTGAATGAAAGTGACACTCATGACTTGACTGCTGTGTGAACATCCTTGAATCACTTAGCTACTAACTACCAAAGTACTAGAGGATCAAAAAGGTCCCCTCTCGTTTGTAACCTTTTTTAAATTCTTATGAGTTGCAGATACAGTATACGGGAAATTATTCTTCCACTGTAGTTCACACTGGCCTGTGACTTTCACAGTAGACCCCTGTTGATCGCCCTTTTTTTTTGGTGTTCATTATAATAGTCTTTTTTAATTCTTTTTTTTAATTACTGTATTATTAGATTATTGATGGATTCCGCTTTAGGAACACTCACTAGAGTTTTATAGGGATGTGTCACCTGTGAATTCATTTAGAAGGAGTTCTAGTTCCTTAAATAAGTGGATAATTAACTATGAATTAAAATTTGGAACATGCACATTTTTCCCTGTTTTTATGTGGCAAATATTAGACAGATTGAAGTTGGAGGTCTGGCTTACAGCTAAACTCAGAACACGGTACAATGCTGTTCACTGAACATTGTACCAAGCAGAATGTCAATTGAATCTTGAAGCGTCCCAGGATACAGAAATGATGCAATGCACTGAAAGAGTCTGGGATAAGTCTCCCGTGGTCAAGAGAAAATGAACCTTGCTTGTTAATTTCACTGTTCTGCTTTTCTGGGTGTTTAGTATATGGAGGTAAAAGGCTCTTAGGTCACTGACAAAGCAATTACATCCCAGACACACATGTTGGGAGCTGACCTGACACTTGCCTCTGGATAGTTGTCATAGCAGCAGCCTCAGTAGAAAGGGTTTGATGTTTATGCCTTCCACAGATAGAAAATCTGGCTGTTGTGCTGTGGCCTACCATATTTGTGCTTGTAAACACAAAAAAAGCCTCCCCATTTTTATGGCTTGCTAGGCTGGCGAGGAGATCATTTAGAGACCCGGGCTTTGACTCTGTTTTACACATTTAGGCGTATGTTAATGATCTACTGTCAAGCCATGCGTACAGCTTGCCTCAGCATGTGGTTACCAGGATACACACGGCCAGCTGCAGCAGGATGTTTAGCAAACAGAAATGTGTTGACCGAAGACGGGGCTGTCTGCTATCAAAAAATAGGCACCTGTTTCCATTGCATAGTATGTATCCTCTCTAGGACATCATGCAGATCATCTGAGTGAGTCGGCTTAGTTCATCGAAATGGTGCGCACTCTCTTCCAGAAACACAAAAACACTTTGTGTCTGCCGACGTATTAGTGGTTGACAAAATCTATGTACATGTTGTTGAGCGACAGTATGCATGTATTGTTATAGTGTAACCCTTTGATTGCATACTGCTGCTCAACTTTTCTTTCTGGATTTTCATACCGGGGGTGTGTTTTGTAAATGTGCACTTGCATACACATAC